TTATATTGCCAAGGAACAAAACAAATATGACCACATGAACTGACTCCTGGGGGGGGGGGAATTTAGTTGATAATAATAGATGGGAGAACAGTGTGCTGGTAAGGGAAGAAGTGAATGTGCAACACCCATCAGTATTTCAGTGGGAATTTGACATCAGCTTGGGAGGTTTTTGAGGGGTTAATAGCCACGCAGAGAACTGATGATTGTTTGAAAGGTGTAAGCACAGACACTGAAGACAAACTCTGTAGCAACACAGTTTGAAATTGTCTGTGTTCTCCCTCCCCTGTGCAGAGTCCTTCCAGCACCACCCCTCCCATCGAGATCTGCTCCTCGCGCCTGACGAAGCTGATGCGCCGGACCACTGATAAAAAGAGCGAATTCCTGAAGGCACTGAAAGATGATAGAAACGGGGAGATAACAGAGAACAGGGAATGTGACAAGCTGGATGATGTAAGATCACTGTCCTTGTATATGTGATCATTATTAGTTAAGGAGTTGGGGACTGAAAAAGCCCCGAGCGGTGTATGTAATTCAGGGCTGTGGAGGAGGAAAGGCATGACTCCCTCTGGTCTGGCACATGTGCCAGCAGATGCAGTGCACAGCACTGTGATGGAGGGAGATCTGTAACACAGAAATGCAAACGGGTAAGTAATAAATGAGGTGGAAGGGAAGGTCACAGATGTTGAAGGTAATCTAGATTTTTTGCAAGGATTCTCTAAGGAGTGGAACGATACCATGTTTTTACATCTCTGTTTTGCTTTCCAACTTCGTTATCAGACTACATTCATAGGAAAGTAGAACTCTGTGCTTGTGAAAGGGGCAGGATTGTGGCTTAAGCCTCAGAGGCTCAGACCAGACTCCTGAATGCATAAATCTGTGCCTTAATGTGTCTGTAAAGCGTGTCCTTAGGAGCATTTAACTCTCCTAGCTTTCTTGCTGTCACTCTGAAGCCCCTGGTGATGGCTTTGTCGTGCCAGCACTGGTTCCCTCAGCACAGCAGCACAATCCACCAAACGTCCTTCATCACACGTTGTCCTGTCACAGCCAGGTACAAATTGCTGCAGCCATTATCAGTCAGGCTCTGTAAAAAACACAGGCTCAAGGTGAAAGGCTTGGCTGGACTTTCAAAGGCAGAAGCTTGAACTTGGAACTGTGCTCTTGGCACACTCTGATGCTTTTATTTTTCTTTAGATGGAGAGCAACAGCACACCAGAACCAAAGGAAAACTGGGAGGAGAATTGCCATCAGAATGGCCTTTCTCTCCCTTTGCCGGAGGAGGGGGAAAACCTCTCCCATTCATTGGAAGCAGAACACAGGTGAGTAATGGCAAAAGAAAGTCTCTAAAGTGAGGGAGGCTGAGTCCTTGGGCTGTGTGAGGAGAAGGAAATTATTTCAAAGAAAACTCTGTTTTTGGGAAGCAGCAGTAGCTTTGTGTGTGGAGCAGGAGGTGTGTGGGCTTTGTAACTAGTGCTGGACTGGGCGGGGTCTTATTGAAAGTAAAACAAGACACCAGTGTCAGGTGAGCCAAGGCTTTACCAAGGTCTGTAATTAAATTCCAGTGCTGCTCTAGTGCCACATCCCCATGTGCTAATGCTGCCTAGATATTTACTTGCCCACACTGGGAGTCAGCATGAACCTGGTGTGATTCTCGTTAATTTACAAGCAGGTGTCCTGAATGGAATGGTTTGAGGACACACACACCACACTTTGTTTGCATTTAGAATACTCCTGTACTGCTTTACATGCTGCAGAAGTGGAGGAGAGCTAAGAAAATATTTGCCTGGTATCTCAGTCTGTATCTCACGTCAGTGAGTAAGCACTGTGAGCGTCTGGTGCAAGCGGATAGTGAGGTTTAGGGAGATCCTGAGCTGTGATACTGGTTTGGTTGCCTCATGTCCTCCTTCAGTGTCCTTGGACTGGAATTTGAAATCCCTGCCTTCCGCCAGGCTGGTTATGTACCCATTGTACAGGGCTGCTGATGGTTAAATATTTGTAAAAGACATTGAAAAATGTTGGGTAAACACAAAAGATTGTTGAAATGGTCTGTGATAGAGAAGATTCCCTGGTGAATTCAGGGTGATTTAGTACAAAACCTCGTGCTTCACATACAAAGGGTTCTCTCCTTGGCCATTGTTCCCTTGCTTAAGTTCCCACGCCCCTTTTATTTTCTCCACAATCAGGTTATTGAAAGAAATGGGATGGCAGGAATATCCTGAAAATGATGAAAACTACCTTCCCCTCACGGAGGATGAGCTCAAAGAGTTCCAGATTAAATCAGAGCAGGTATGTTTACACCTCTTGCCACTTGTGACTGCTCTTCTCCCTCTCCCTTCTCATGCACAAGTCTTCTGTGGGGTCATTCTTAAGGATGTTCAAGGAAAGCAAAGAGTTAATTGATGGCTCTGCATTATCCAAGCAGAGTGTGTGTATACACAGTTAAATATGTAATTTGTGTCCATGCATGGTTAGGGACAGTTACTGCCCACAACTTTACTTGTTTTAAAACTTGCTTTCATTCCTACAGCGAAGAAGAAATGGATTTGGGAAGAATGGATTTCTTCAGGGCCGCGGCTCCAGCCTGTTGTTCCACTGGAGAAGCACTTTTAAGACAAAGATTGAGGACTCAGACACAGAAACTAGTAGCAGCGAAACGTCAGATGACGATGCCTGAAACTGGGCACAATAAAATTAAAATTAATAAAACCAACCCAATAAACTCAGTTCATAGTTCAACACGTGTTTGGGGTTGTATAAACTAAACAGAGTTTATTCTGTCTCCAGTCTGTTCAGTTTTTTCTTTTGTTGTTGATACTTCATGCACAAGGGAAATGATTGTATCCCAAAGAAGAGAGAAATTGGCTTCTTTAGCTTTTTCTTTTGGTTTTGCCCTAATGCTTACTAGAAGTTTGTGCAGCTAGCAAATTTTGACAGAAATCCCTTGTGGGGCAGTGCACAAGTTCAGTCGTGTGAGCAGGACACAAGTGGCTGACTGATCTCTGCAACAACAAGCTTCTAACAGTGCCGCCGCATTGCCCGGTGCCGCGCGGTAACGGTGTGCTAAAACAATCATTGTCGATGACAAAATGGCTTTTGAAGTTCTAATTATGTTAAATTAATGCTAATAACATGGATATTTTATTTTATTTTATTTTTTTTTTTGGCGGCTCGGGGAGCTTCATCACTTAACCAGGCGTTTGTGGTTTTCTTTTTTTTTTTTTTTTTTTTTTTTTTTTTTTTTTTTGGGTACAGCTGTAAAATATTTGGATATAGGAATTGTTTGTGTTCTTCTTCTTGCAGCCTTGATATTCAGGGTGGATTGTAAAATATAAATTTTTTGTGAGATTTCAAAGATTAAGATTATTTTGATAACATTATTTACAGATTTTAAAAAGTGACTATCACATTGAGTCTGTATGAGGGGAAAAAACTACTGCATCAAAAATAACTAACTTGGAATAAATATTTTGCATCAGTTTGCCAATTCTAATTGTCTTTCTTATGTAAGAAGAGCTTTCCTCTAAGGGACCTGAAACTCTGGGGGTTCAGTAGCACTGGGGATAAACAGTTTCTTCTCCCACTCTATATTTCCACTTGGCAAACATTGCTGTAGCACTCAGACTGCAGGAGCTGAACTCTTCCTTTAAGAAGGGAGAGGGAGAACAATGCTGAGATGACAGCCCATGCTTGAGGGTTTTTTGTTTTTTTTAAAGAAAATAATTGAAATTATCTCCTACTAAAGCAGTTTGCTTTTTTTTTCCGCTTCATACAAAATGGTGAAGCTCAACCGGTCGGTGTCACTTGTTCCTAGTGCAATGCTGCTGTTTATGTTCACAACGTGGCAAGGGAATGTCTGAATCCAAAGCTGTTTTCATTGAAATCTTTTTTAAAAATTCATGAAAACATTTCTATTAGATTAAAAAGAATTTTACAAACAACTCAGTTGTGGCCTAAGCTATTTTAGTGTCTGGTGTAAGTTCAGCTTGTGCACAAAGGTTTTGGGTTGGAAAGCGCTCGGGTGTTGTGCAGTGTTTGCAAGTGGGTTGGATGGAGTTGCACAGCGAGAGCAAAACCCTGGGCCTGCTGAGCTGAGGGGGTTTCACACGAGGTTGTGCCTGTGTGGTTTTTTAGTCCACTCCTGGCCAGGCAGAGAGGACAGAGGTGTAAGAAAATTGTAATGTTTAGCCATGAATCTTTGCGTCTGGGCTCAAGGGAGCACTGTCGGCGTTATCAGGTGTAACCGTGCTGCCTCTGCTTTCAGCTCCCACTGCCATGGTGATGCTGCCTCTGCAGGGAACCCCAGGTGAGAGGAGCAATGGGGCATTTCTTCGTCACTGCCTTCTGGAAACCGAGCTCCAGGGGCTGGGTCTGCCTGGGAATGCTTGGGGAAATGCTGGGACTCCTGTAAGACAGACATTTTACAGCTTGTCTCATTCATTTTGAGTGTCCTTGTGCTTCGATCACATCAAACATGGCTTTTGGCTGGAGAAGTCCAACCATTTTTAAAAAATTTAACTTCCTACATCCATTTAAATCAAATTATGCAGATCTGTTGTGTGCACTGTTGGAGAGAAATGGGGTAAGTTTAAAAACCCCTTCACCTTAAATCCATGCTAACAGCCACTTGGAAGAGAGGAACTGGATTGCTGAGGAATCCCTGCCTGGACTGAGGGACCAGCGTGACCTGTGTGTGTGTGCTGGGAGCTCCTTGTTCCGTGCCAGAGTGACTTCTGTGCCTTAACCCTCCTGTGGATTTAAGTATCCATGAAACTCTGGAAGTGTCAATGGCAGCCTCTGGGTGAGCCTGATCGAGCAACTCCCCGTGCATCACCTGGTAGCTTTTTCCTGAGGAGTCCCTGACCGGGATCACTGTCGGTGAGGTCGGGGGGGACCTGCAGCACCTTGGGAAGAGCCCGTGGGTGCTCTGCAAGGACAGGTGGGTGCAAGGATGGAAGGAGGGGAGCTTGTTTTGGGAACAAGGGCAGGGCCTGGACACCTGCGGCATGGAGAAGGGGCAGAAGGAGGTGTTTCACCTCTGCAGAGTTTCCTCCTCAAATCCTGTGGAGCACCCCCGGGACACCCCGGAGCAGCGAAGGTTTTGTAACCAGGGGAGGGGGAGCTCTGCGGGACCTCCCTCATCTTGATTTTTGTGGATCGCTCTGGTGCCCAAATGACATTTTTTTCCCGTTCCGGTGTCCGTGGTAAACAGTGGGAATGGCCGAGGCCGGGGGTGCGACCGCCCTCCCTGCCCTGCCCAGCGTCCAGCATAGCAACAGCGGCTCCAAACACCGCCAGCACCGCCGCCGGCAGGTCTGTGCCCGCACCCAGCCCTCTCCCTGGCAGGGTGGGCCCCCCCCAGTGACCCCCACCCGCTCTGCTTTCCAGGGTGCCGGACATGGGGAGCTTCCCGTGCCCCCGCTGCCGCATGGCGTTCAGCTCCCGGCAGCTCCTGCGGGCGCACCAGGACAAGCTGTGCCTCGGGATCACCGAGCCCGCCAGCTCCTGCCTCCATGGGGGGAACCCTCTGCCTGTGGAGGGGGCGCCGGGCACGGCAGGGAGGCCACAGGACACCTCGGTAGTGGGGAACTGGGTCTGTCACAGAACTGGGAGGGGCAGGAGGGATGGGGACAGGGACAGGTGCTGGGCTGGGAAACAGCATCTCTGCCAGCATTGCTGGATCCAGCTTGGCCTGAGCTGGGGGGGGCAAACCTCTGCCCTCCCACCCCTGCACCACGCTGGCAGCCCTTGGTGTTTATTTTACCAAAGGCAGAAAAGTATATTAGTAAGTGGGGGGGATTTTTTTTCACCCTTTCCTTCTTATTTGTGTCTGTGAGGAGGTCAGGGTGTCCCTGTATGGGGACGGCTCTGAGCCACACCATCACCTTGAGCTCCCTGGGGTCTCAGCTGCTGTGCAGGGACAGCAGAGACCGGGGTGGGCACGGGGGGCTCCCCTGGGGGCCGTGCTCACCCCCCGTGAGAGGGCCCTGCTCCGCACGGCCGACCCCACTTCCAGGAGTTCCACAGTGCAGGTACAGTGAACCCCCTGCCCCTGTGGGCACCAGCACCCCGATGGCTCCCCACACCCCGCAGCTGGTGGGGGTCCAGCCCCTCCTGCCCGTTGAACCCCCTGTGCAGCAGGGAGAGCCCCCCCAGCAGCCAGTCCTGCCCCAGGGGCGGCAGCAGCCACCACAGGAGCTTCTGGAGGCCCACAAACGCCAAATGGCCGAGATCCAGGCCAGGACCCAGCAGCTGGAGCAGCGGAGGGAAGGTAGGCACTGGCAGCGGTTTAGGGGTGATGGGGGGCACTTGTGGGGTGCAGCAGCCCTCAGGGAGTGGGGCTGTGGGGGCCCTGCTGAGCCCCCCTGTCCCCTCACCTTCCCGCAGGGCTGTGCCGGCAGCTGGCAGCACTGGGGGCTGGGGGGCCCCAGCCCGAGCAGGGGGAGCTGGGGCTGGGCCAGATCCTGCAGGCCCCAAAGGAGCAGCTCAGACAAGTGCAAGTGGCACAGCACAGGTGAGCCCCACCTCTACCACCTCTGGGAGAGAACCCAGTGGGGTTCTCTCCATCAAGGAGCCTTTGGCCTCCTTGCCCTCCCATTTGCCCGTTTCCTCCCCAGGGCCACCCTCCACCTCGACACCCTCCTGCCACCCCTGGGGCCACTCGCTGCCGAGGCCAGGTGAGGGGCTGTGGGCCATGGCAGATCCAGCAGTGTCCCAACAAGCCCAGCAATGGCTGATCCGGGGCTCTGGCAGGGCACTGCGACTGTCCTACCTGCGCGCCGGGGGACACGACCCGGCCATCCTGGACCAGCTGCTCCACCTCCAGCTGGAGGCCACGGTGCTGGAGAAAGGAACTGCAGGGCTGCGCAGGGGCAGGAGGATGGGTAAGGCCCAACCCCAGCCCCGACTCCCTGCAGGGTCCGTGACTCCACAGCCAGCACCTGAGGCACCCCCGGCTGTGCCAGCAGAGCCCCCTGGCACTGGCACACAGGGTCTGGATGCGGCACTGTTGGCTGTGGAGCTGGAAAACTGGCGTCTGGAAGATGAAGTGTTGGCGCTGAAGGTCAGGAGGGAGAGGAGAGCTGACGCTGGTAGGTGATGGGTCCTGGGGAAGGGGGTCCCCGATCTGCACCCCACAGCCCCTGGCTGCCTCTGGGGCTGCAGCATCGGAGCCTCTGGGCTGGACATGACTCATGGAAATATGGGGAAGCTGGGGGGTCTGCAGCTGCACAGCCCGGGGCGGGGTCTCTGCACTGAGAAGGAAGTCTCCTGACCCCCCAGATCCTGAACACTTGCCCAGTGAGATGCCGGGGAAAGGGTTGCTGGGGGAGCATAAACCCCACAGCAAGGAATTCCTGTCCCCAGACTCGAGGGCGGCCCAGCTGCACTCGGAGGAGCTGGCCCAGCTCCGGGCAGAGGTGGGGATGCTGCGATGCCACGCGGAGCAGGCGGGGCCACGGCTGCCCCCACCCATCCTCCCACCCACTGTGGCCCCCCCACTGCCACCAGCCCTGGCTGTGCCAGAACTTTTTATGGTAAGAGCCTTGGCCCAAGGCGATTTCTATCTCTCCAGGGAGGGGAGAAGGGAGATGGGAGAAGGGCTTCCAATTGGGATAGGATTACGGATGTGGAGGTACAATCTTGGGAAGATTTGGGAACAGCTGCCGTGGCTGCAGCTGGGGATTAGGGCCCCTGGGGCAGGTGAGTCCCTTCCCAGTGAGGGAGCAGGAGTGTAATTTGCTCTGCACATCCAATGCTGTGACAGAATGGCCAGGCAGCTCCTGCCTGTGCTTGTAGCAGGACAGTGTCAGGACCCTCCTGCCCTTGACACCACTTTTTTCATTTCCCAGGAGCCCCCTGGGCCAGCGCTGGGGCCAGGCAGCCCCACAGCCCCTGTGCCCCACGGCCTCCCCCTCAGCCCCTTTGTGGCCCTGGAGGACCCTCCTCCTGCTCAGGAGCCCCCAGAACAACACAAACCTCCACGAAGGTGAGCCAGGAATGGGCCACGCTGCCCTGGCATCCCCTCACCACCCTGGAGTGGGAAATTGGGGCTTTTTTAACTGTTAGGGTGATAAATGGATGGCAAAACCTGTGTTTGAACTTCAGTTCAACAAGATGGGGCTTGGGACTGGCTGTGTAATTGGTACCAGGAACCCAGTGCTGGGGCAGGGGGAAGCATTTGGGATCCCTGCTGGGCATTTTGGCAGCAGGGAGAGGACAGGCAGCATCAGGCTGACCCCTAAGCCAGCAGGCAGTTACACAGCTCAGCCTCCACCTCAGGCTGCCCTTTGTGCCCCAGGACTGAGCCCACAGCCAGATGAGTGTTCAGTCCTGCTCACAGTGGTGGTTTGGGGACAGGCAGAGAAGCACAATCACATTCCCTTTCCCTATGGCTCAGCTCGTTCCATCAGGCACATCCCCACCAGCAGCCTGACCAGGAGCAGGCACAGCTCAGCCCTGGCAACCCAGCAAAACCCAGCACCAGGTTTCCTAAGTCACAGGCCACGTGCTACGTGTTTAATAAATGGCTTCAGCCTATTGCTCTTCACTTCTTGGCCTTTCTCTATGTATATACACACAGAGTGTCCCAGAGCAGGCTCCCATCCCCACCTGGAATGTACAGGCACACTGGCTGCCCCAGGGGACAGCCAGGCCCTGCCTGGAACCACCACTGCCTCCATCTCCACAAGTTCTCCCTGCAGAGGGGCAGAGCTAAAAATACACATCCAGCAATGTCCAGGATGTTACAAACCTGTGACCACAGAGCTGGTGCCCCAGGAGAAGGAAAAATGTCACATCTAGACTGCTCCCAGACAAGACCACAGTGAAAGAAATTCACTGCTCTTCTTCTTCCCCTGAAGCAGCCAGCTCTGCCTGCCCAATCCCACTCTCTTCTCCTGCCCCATGAGGCAGATGTGGATGGAAATGCTGAAGCTCCAGGGACCAAGAGCCCAGCACTGGGCCAGGGCTGAGACCTGCACCCCAGGGGAACAGCCAGGAGCAGTGGCTGGAACCTGGCACAGGAGGAAGGGACTATTTGCTTACAATCTTTATTGAAGTCATACAAAAGTTGCCAAAAAGTGAAAAAATACACTATATACAAAACCATTTTCCTTGTAAGGAGAGGAGTGTCCAAGGTTAAAGAATTATCATACTGTGCTTTCAACTGCAGCCCCTGATTCTGCTTGTGGCCTTTTCTCTGTCTAAAAGAGAAGAGAAGGGTTTGTTTTAAAAAAACCAAGACACTGCCTTACAGCACCAACTCATGCAGCAGCCCAAGGGTTTTGTAATTTGAAGATTTAACTGACTACATGAGCTTTGCTTGTCTCCAGAGCCCAACACCACCCTACAGCACTGACATTTACAAGTGCAGCCCAGGGGTGGGTAATAAAACCCAGGAGTATGAAAAACTGGGGGAAGACCCTGTGCTGGAGTTTAGCCCAGCTCAAACTCCCAGAACCCATCTCTGTCCCACCCCAGAGGTGACAAAGCTCCACAGTTGGGTCTGTCCAGCCCACACAGGGTCAGGCACCACAGTACAACATGCACCCTGCCCACTGGGAATATTCCTCATCCCATCTGGGAAGCCCTGTGGAGGCCAGCAGGCAATAAAACCAGTACATCTACCAGGCAAAAGAACCATCCCTGAACAGAGTGGGGAAAAATGAAATAAAGAGCACAGCCCAGACTCCTGGCTCAGTTGCCCACCTCCTCTTCCATTTTTTCTGCAACCTCATTTCCACTGGGGGCAGGATCCCCACCACCACCATTGACAGCCGGTTCTGGTTTAGATTTCTTGGCTTCATTGTCTCCCTGATGAGTCTCCTCCTCTGGTTTCCTCTGAAGACAAAATTGTTTATAGTCTTCACTAAGCACAAATTAAAGTCTTAATATTTTTGAGAAAACTTAGCATTAGAGGTCACTGCACATTATCTACCCAAGCTGTGCTTGCCAGGCTCAGGACAGACACCTCAGTGTCAGGGTTTAACAGAGCTCTGAGGCTCTGGCTCCAAAGGTCTCAACCACAGCAATCTCCAGTGAGACACTGGGTGCCAGAATCTCTAGTGTTGAATTATCCTTGATTACACTCTGGCAAGGAAATGCAACCACTGAGCCCAGTAACAGTTCCAGGGTAGGTTCAGGGCATCTACAACACTTGAAATCACCCGTGTAAAGCAGCTCCAAGTCACTCCAGGCACACCTGAACTGACAGAGGCCAATGGAACAGAGGCCAGGCTGTGCCATGGCCACAGGCGACATAAAAACTAAAGTTCCTACAGGGGATACTCTCAGTTATATCAACAAACACTTCCAGAGAACACACACACCTTTAAAGGAACAGAGTGCTCAACATCTCATCTCCATTCTATCATTACCATCGCTCTGGCTTTGCTATTTATTAAGCCCAAGTCTCCATTTCCTCTTGGAAGAAGGGAACCCAGCCCAGCCTGGTTGGTTGCCTGCCCTTTCTCCTTGAGATCTGCAGGTGACCCTGCAGCTCTTGAGGGTCCTCAGCAGAGGAAACCCTTGTTCAGAGAACACCTGCAGAAGTCACACAACGGGGTCAGAAGTTACACCATGGTCAGGCTGGTGCTGAACCACCAAGAATGGTCTCCTGGAGGTCAGGGTTCCCAGACTGATTGGCTCCCAGTGGAAAGGAGTTTCATGCACTATTTCTGGTCTTACTTTTAAAGTATTTTCCCATTATACAACTAAGTTAAAAAAAAAAAAGTTTTAAGACAAGAAATCCAATTACAAAGAGCAAGACAGTGGTACTCGAACTGCTTGTTCAACAAGTCATTTCTGGACTCACCTTTTTCCTGACTAGGTGAGAGATGTCTGTAACACACTGAGATGCACCATCAGATGCTTTTCTTACTGGAATCTGTTACAAGACAGACACTGACACATGAGCAACTGTAACCAGTAATCCTTAGAGCAGACAGGAATTAACAACATCCATCTTAAATTAACTTACTGTGGAAACGGAACCACTGTCTTCACTTTGTGCAAAGCCAGATGTAGTTCCAATCTTAAGAAAAGCAGAAGAAGCAGTGAACAGATTGTGTGCAGACCATTCAAACAAGCTTAGCAGGGGACAGAAAGCCCAACCCCTTCAAATCCCAGCACTGTACTGTGCACTTCTACACAGGACAGGCAACATTTGCTCCACTTTTGCCTGACCCATCATTTCCAGCCCTGATACATTAAATGCCATAGAAGCCTATCAAATTCCCACTTAGTTTGGAACAATTATTGTCAAGGTACTTACTAAATATCCTTTCTTTAGATGTCAGTTGCCTCAGTTTCCTTCTGAGAATCACAGCCTGTAACACCTGTGAGCAACCACCAGCCCCTGATCAAGTCCAAGCTCCTCCCATGACTGATTTACTTAAAGTTCCACTGGAAGAATGCTGGGTCAAAAGGAAACCACAGGACACACTCACCAGAGTTGCTTTCAGTCCCAACTCGGCTACTCTTGCACTCTTTTGAGACTCCTTTGAATCTTCTATCTTTTCTTTAATTTCAGGAAGCAATCCCTTCAGCTCTTCAATCTCCTTCTCGTCCTCAGGGGACCCACTTTCTGCTTGCTTTATTCTCTCAGTCAGTATTGCTGGGGTGAAACAGTTATCAGGGCAAAACACCTTGAGACAAAGTAACTTGTCCAGTTATCAACATCCAGAGTCAACTATCTGCTAACACACACACACAGTTTCCACAATTCTGCCGTGGGTGTGGTCCGTCTGCCACCGCCTGCAGACCAGCCAACACCGCAGGGCAGGCAAGGAGCACACCTCAGTTAAACAAAGTCTGCTCTGCCTCGACTAAACTCTGATAGAGCTTTAGAAATCCACTTACTTACCCAGCCTCTTGTCGATGACCTCCATGGACTTGCTGAACTGCAGGACGGCCTCGTCGAAGTCGCTGTTGTAGTGGTAGGCCAGGGCCAGCTGGTAGTGGCTCTCGGCCAGCAGACGGTCGTGAGCCTCCAGGTACTTCTGCTGCAGGGCCAGGCAGGCCTGGAACTCCTCTATAGCCTGTGTGTAGTTTTCTACAGGAGAAAAGCCACAAGGTCTTCACTAAGGACACCAATCATCCAAACAATCCAAGCCCTCTGTGTTCTGTCACGCCCCGCACAGTCCGCAAACGCGCTCAGGGCCGCGCTGCTCTGACAGCACTGCCTCCCCCTCAGGGACTGTCTAGTCCAGTTCCTGAAGTTATCTCATGAGTGTTTTGTCTACTTCCAGCACAGTCAAACCAGGCACTAAATCCTCCTGTTCAACCTGCTACGATGAATTCAATGTAACAGGTCCCAGTTGCACCAGGGATCTGAACCCAAGGACAGTCCCCTGCTGCCCTCCTGCTGAGCTCTCCACTGAAGGTGCTCCAGTGACATAAGACAGCCCTTGATTTGTAGCCCTGGCCCAGAAACCTGTTGGATCATTTCCAGTGCTTGCCCCTGAGAAGGAGTACACTTGGATTTAACAAGATTAAATTATGTTTTTAAATGAAAGGCAGGTGAAACATTAGAAGGCACAAGCCTGGGGCTTGCTTCCCACTCCTTTTTTCTGCTATGTAACACAAGAGTCTTTCCTCACTATACCTGAGGATTTTGGAAAGCCTAAGTCAACCATTTTTCATTTGCAGTCTTTATGTTCTGACATGGCACGGTACTGGCACCTCCTATTAATTAAGCTCAGTGACTCTCTGCTTCAATAAGTCTCTTTTAAATTCATAGCCAAGGTTTGGTCACTTCAGGAAGTGGAACAGATGACTGATTTTGATCTGACAACACATTTCTTACTCAAATTTTTCTGTCATTGCTCTGGAAAAGCACAGCTATCCCATTTAAGGCACCAACTCAGTTCATCCATTGATGCCAAAGCTTCTCACATGGCTGCAACCACCATGATCAGTCTAATTTGTTTTCATTCTGAGAACCTTAACCCACCTCTGCTCATTTCAAAGTACAAAACAGAGTGTCAGAAAGTGGAACTGAACACTTTGCACATCAGAATTAACATTACTTACCAGATTCAATGCTAACCTCTCCTAACTTCAGATGAGCTTGAGCTGCATGGAGCTGAGCTTCTTTTGTTTCTTGTCTAAATCAAGAAAAAAAAAATAGTTTCCAAGTCCTGATCAGAATATGGCACATTCACTAACTGGTTATGCCACCCTCCAGTTTACAGAGTTTCTCTGGCATATATACAAATTAAAACTCAAGCCTTTACCTCTTGTAAATGACTTTTGCCAACTCCAGCATGTCCCAGGCCAGCTCAAGATTTCCAATTTCATCCTCCTCGCTTTCCTGTAAAGACCAGAAGTTCATGAGAGATAAACAGTTTACCACTGGAAGGAAAAGAAGAACAATAATATGCAGAAGAGGTTATTGCATCAATCAAGACTTTGCCTGCAGTAAAGATGATTCAGTGGAACATAAACTCAGTTTGTTGATATAGCCTTATTAATTTTTTTTCCCCAGAAATATCAGGGCACCAAGCACCAATATTATCTCAAGAGGAAGATTTTATTTA